CGTCACAAATAAGTACCCCAAATGCGCAGCACATTGCCTTGGCCCGTACAAGTAATTTGGAGGTAGCAGAAGAAGCTGTCCCGCGACATTCCGCTGCTCGTTCTCAGAGAAAGAGAAGCGAAAGAATTCGTGCCAGCGAACGATTGAGGAACACTGACAATCGCGCTACCTGGAGAGCGATCGAGGAAAATCGAGGACTCGAGCGCACACGGGACGCTGCAGCGCACGCAAGCGCCAGGTCGGTTTCCGAAGAGCGACGACGAGAGCAGTCGCGAAACACTGCTGATCATGCTACCTGGAGATCGATCGAGGAAAATCGAGGACCCGAGCGCGCACGGGACGCTGCAGCGCGCGCAATGGTCAGGTCGGATTTAGAGGAGCGACGACGAGAGCAGTCGCGAAAAACTGCTGATCTTTCTACCTGGAGATCGATCGAAGAAAATCAAGGACCTGAAGTACACAAGTACCAGGTCGAATTCCGAAGAGCGACGACGACAGCAGGGGCAAAATACTGCTGACCATGCTACGTGGAGATCGATCGAGGGAAATCGAGGACCAGAGCGCGCACGGGACGCTGTAGCGAACGCAATAGTCAGGTCGGATTCCGAGAAGCGACGACGAGAGCAGTCGCGAAACACTGCTGATCATGCTACCTTGAGATCGATCAAGGAAAATCGAGGACGCGAGCGCGCACGGGACGCTGTAGCGCGCGCAATAGTCAGGTAGGATTCCGAGGAGCAACGACGAGAGCAGTCGCGAAACACGGCTGATCATGCTACCTGGAGATCGATCGGGGAAAATCGAGGACCCGAGCGCGCACTGGACGCTGCAGCGCGCGCAATGGTCAGGTCGGATTTAAAGGAGCGACGACGAGAGCAGTCGCGAAACACTGCTGATCATGCTACCTGGAGATCGATCGAGGAAAATAGAGAACTCGGGCGTTTACGGGACGCAGCAGCTCAAAGGATCACTATGAACAACCCTTTCACTAGGACACAGGATCAAAGGACCAACACAGTGCATCATCGGAACACAAGACTTCAGCAAAGATTTCGGGAACAACAAATTCAGGAAATGGCTGACGAGCGACTTCTCACATACAGGTCGAGTTCACAAAATCGACAGGCGAAATCTTCCAGTCACAGCGCAATATTGCTGCAAGAGCACAACTTTCGGAGGATGAACGAGAGGATCAACGGAAACGCCAGCGACGGAGGAGTCGAGCTGCGGCAAGGGAACAATATCTTCGTAACATTAAGGACGGACCAACTAAGTTTTGTAAGTGCTGTGGAGGAACGTGGTTTCCATCTCAGGTAAGTGTTTTGAACATACGTACTAGTTCTTCTAAATACCCCAACTTTAGTTTAGACAATGCCTTTTATTTAAGTAGAAAGTGTCCGAGTCCGCTTGGCAAATATCAATTTTGCAGTACATGTCGTCAAGGCGTTTCCAAAGGTAGGATACCATCCAGAGATACCTGAATACCTTAAAAACTTGACATGTCTTGAGGAGCGCCTTATTTCTCCTCGAATTCCCTTCATGCGCATTATACCCCTTGGATATGAAAGGCAATGCGGAATAAGAGGCGCTGTAGTCAATGTTCCAATTTCAGTACCTGATACTGTAAGCGTACTCCAGCGCACCTTTGATTTGACCCATGTAATCCGGGTTCATTTAAAAAGAAAGTTAGAATATTCCCATAATTTCATGACGGAAACTATTCGACCCGCTCGGGTTATTCAAGCTATGCGATACTTGGTTAACACTGAGCTCTACAGGCACAACATTTCCTTTGACGGTGATTGACTCAATCAAATGGGAGCCGAAGAAGAATACCTTTCATCGCAGATGAATCTGACCGAGAAGTCGTAGAAGAGCTTCTTCGTAAACATTCTCATTCTCAATCAAATGACAAGCAAGAAGGTCATTTAAATCCCGGAGTTCATTAAGCCCTTCCTTTTTTTAACTCGACCATTTGCCCTGAATCCATATATTCATTCATGAGTTTAGTATAGTCAGCCTTAAGTTTTTCATTCCTAATTAACTTTTTCAACAAATTTATAAAACGAGCTATTGCTTGTTTCTTTGAATCCCCTAAGGTCACATCTTAAACGGAATTGACACAATGTATTGCCCACCTGAATCTTTCCTTGTTGTTCTTGTGAAGTTGTTTTCACATAATTCAGACTCGACATAATTTTTGTCTTCTTCCTCCACTTCCAAATATCTAATTATATCTTTTAATTCGATAGCGGTTGCAACAATTGCCTCTTTTCCTTTGGATTTTTTACATCCAGAGACAATCCACCTGAAATTTGTTTTTAACAACTCCTGTTTGTAGAATTCGAGCATATAAATCTGCCCCAATACTAATGTCAACCCGGCCTGGTTTGTTAAAATGAGGGTCCGCTAAAATATACCTTTCCCATTTTGACTTGTCAACATTAACGGTGTTGACTGGATGAGCCTTCATTAATTTTGGCAATATAATGGCTTAAACCTTTAAAATTTGTTAAAAATCTTCACTTTTAATTTGAAGATTTGCCTTGTGCTTTGATATGCACTTTCCTGGGAATGATATTCCACTAATCTCTGTTCGAGATCAAATTTTTTGTAATTTCAGAATCTGCGCAGATTCTTCTGAAATAAGTGTGCTCTGTGACCCACTGTCAATCAAAGCTCTAAGTGTTTCAAATTCTGCATCCGAAGATTTTATATGAACACGCGCTGTAGCTAACAGCACTTGTTCCGACGTCATGCAAGTGTTAACTTTTTCACTTTTTTGATTATTAACAATTTATATGTAGCATGCTATGGTGATTGTTCAGGCCCACTGTCCGGCGAATCTGGACTGGCCTCGCTATCCAGCTGCACCAGCTGCACCGCTCTACCGCTCTCCCGCTCTCTCGCGCTCCCGGTCTCCTGCGCTGTTCCTAGCTCCCTCCATGAAGTCTCCGCTGCGCTTTGGAGCGCAGAGCGGAGCTTAGACTAAGGCAGTTCGATTTCTGAAGTTAAACCGCGGTTGTACCCCCGCCTACTTTTACCCAGTTAACTTTTGTGCACATTTATTTCCGACTAAGGGGCAAATACGCCACCGAAGCCCAGCGAACCAGCCCGCCGACGCCGCCAGTTTTCCCGCCGTCGCCTGCCACGCCATTCCACCAGCGCCCACACGGTACCCCGCTACCCCCGGCGTACATTTTGATCCATTCGAGCCGATAAGATAAGTAAAGCTTTTCGTCTTATTAATTGCCGGTCTGCAGTCAGCCACTCGAAAATATAATTCGTTTGACTTTCTGTACGATTTGTCCAAAATCCTAGTCCGATTAAATCCGACAACGGCAATTAAAAATTACTTCGCCATTTTTTTCTTCGATTTTCCTTTTGCTACGTGCGGCCATATTGCCAATTTTTTCCGACTCCTTTTTTAATTGCATTTGACCGCTCATCCATACTTACATACACATATACAAAATCGAGAAAAAATTCCAAGCTTAGAAAAAATATTGTGCAAATATAAGCCAAGCATACAGTGAGAATTATTAAATTTCTAGTGTTCTGCCAATTCAGGCCCCCAAAACTTTTCAAGATTTTTCTCTCTGTATATCCGCAGCCGCTAAAATACTTGCACATATTTTTTCGTTTTTTCCAAATACAGTCCACACACAATAAATCGAAAACTTCCACAACAACACATACCCCGCCGGCAATAATTATTTAATAAATTTAAAACCGGCGAAAATTACATACATACAAATATATTACATACATACAAATATCTACATCCATACAAATATCTACATCCATACAAATATCTACATCCATACAAATATCTACATATATACACATATCTACATACAGTCACATATAATTTTTAACTCCACCATCCCGTTCCGACTAATTAAAGTTTTCCGTCGGCCATCCGGTAAAAAATAATAAAATACAAAAATTACACCAACCGACGTGAAAATTTTTTGGTCATTGTGTTTTATTTACCATCAAACTTTTTAGTATTTTTTTGGTATTTGGTATTTACTCCGTAAAATTTATTTTATTTAAACGGGAAAAATACCAGCACTCAACTGCATGCATAGCATCCTCCGTCCACCATTTTTTTGGTATATTTTTAGTATTTTTCCCTCGAAATATTAAATCAAATTAAAGCAATACACCAATATTAAATAATCAACCGATCGCATCCTCCGGCCAACAAATTTTGGTATTTTTTCTTCATTCAGAAGTTTAAATAAAGGCGAAAAGATTACAATTACTCCACCGGGGACTATATATATACACAGAGTTGGTATTTTTCCCCCTCAATTTATCCAAACGCAAAAAATACCAGCTAAAATATACCAAACTTGATCCCAACCATAATACATATACCAAAAGGGTTAAATATTATAGTATTACTTCTCAACGGGTGATATTCGAACTCATCACTCACTGTTCCTAATCCGTATTATTGGGTTTAATTCCGCAAAGTAACCAGGTCGGTACTTGCTTCCAATTTCTATTTCTCCGATCCACTACTTTTTTTGTCGACACCTCGTTCCACTGTTCCAGAAGTGGGCCAGGTTTCCTATTTATCCGACATAAACAAAGGCGAACAGATTCAGACCCAAATAAAGGTAATTTCTCTTTAAATGTCCGCTGGAAGTGATAACAACAAGTTGTCTATTCCACCTGCCGTAGTCCCAGGCATATCCGTAGATCCGCCCACACCCGAACTAACTGCCAAGACCTCGTCGCCCCGAAAAAGGGTCACCCGTGCAAACGTCAAAATGGCACTAACAACTTCCCAGATCGCTCTAAGCTAATTTACTGAGGTCTCAGATCGGCTGAGTGAGTTTGAATCCAGAGCAAACACTCCTTCGCCGATCCCTCCTACTCTGTCTATGCTGAACATCCGCCGCGAAGAAATACGCGCGTTATGGGACCGCATCAAGGCAGAATACGATGAATGCACCGGGTGCATAGCAGAAGCCGGAGACAGTGCAGCTGATAGTTTGCCAGTTCTCAAGGCTAAATACGGCTACTGCATTCCGTTTACGAGAGATGTGGGGCTCAGATCGCGGATATGATAGCCCAGGCTCCCCAAGTTCAAGCTGTTCCTACCCAGACTTACATTCCCTCTGGATGTCGGCTGCCTCCGTGCGATACCGAGGTTTTCACCGGAGATTATCTGCGGTGGCCGACCTTTAGGGACCTGTTTACGGCCATTTACATAAACAATCCAAGGCTGACGCCAGTCGAAAAATTGTTTCACCTAAATGCCAAAACAAGCGGTGATGCACACACGATAGTGTCAAACTCCCCCCTTACTAATGACGGCTTTCGCTCAGCTTGGGCTAACCTATCTGAGCGTTTCGAAAACAAGCGGTTGTTAGTAAATAGCCAATTGAAAATACTTTTCAATGTGCAGTCCGTTAATCAGGAATTTGGGTCAGCTATCCGTGAACTTCAACGTACCATCCAGGGTTGCCTTACGGCTTTAGAAATGTCCGGAATTGAAACAGAAAATTGGGATTGCCTCCTAGTGTACATGTGCTCCTCCAAACTTCCTAAGCTCACGCTATCCTTGTGGGAACAGTCCCTGCACAATAAGGCAGAGATTCCGACGTGGCAGGAACTGAACGCCTTCCTTACGGAGCGTCACCGGCCCTTAGAAGCCATAGACGACGTACGGCCGTCGGGATCGAGCCTCGCTCTGCCAAAAACATCCGCCCCCACTGCAGCGCCTCGAAGAATAAATTCTTACGAGACAAGGGTAGCACCCAAGCCAAAAGGACGTGACCTTTGTAAGAAGGAAAACCATCCTGTCCGCACATGTGCACGGTTCCTCCAGATGACGGTCGACGAGCGTTCGACATACATAAAGAGGAAGCAGCTGTGTCTAAACTGCTTCGCACGAGGGCACCAGCTGCGTGATTGTGAGAGCACTCATAGTTGCTTTACGTGCCGCGGCCGCCATCACACCTTACTACACAGAGGCAACTCCTCCCAATCGCCTTCGAATCCCGCCCCAAGACCCAGATCAAGACCAAGTACACCAGTTGCCACCGCTTCCCGGTCCACGGACTCTACAGTACAAAACTACTTCGCGACGGGGTATAGATCCGTCTTGCTGGGCACCGCCATAATTGACATATGTCACTTGGGGTCGAATTTTAAAGCTCGTGCCTTGATAGATTCAGGATCAGAGGCAACCTTCATTTCTGAGCGGCTGTTCAAACTAATTAAGTTGCCACACCAGGTAATCCGAGCCCAAGTATCAGGCTTAAACCAGACAGTATCCGCTGAATCCAAAAAGCTCTGTCAGCTTACCATCCGTTCTCCGACCAGGCCTGGCTTGCAAATAAACACGACGGCCTATGTTCTTCCTCAATTAGCTGGAAACCTTCCATCTTGTCCGATTCCGCAACAGTTTCTACGGGATCTTCCCGAACTGTCACTAGCGGATCCAAAGTTTTACGAGAGTGCACAGATAGATATTCTGGTCGGGGCCGACATACTGCCATCCATTCTCCTAAGCGGCACACGGCCGAATATTTGTGGCTCTCTCCTCGGGCAAGAAACCATTTTCGGGTGGATCCTAACAGGACCCGTTCCTGCTCCAAGGGAAAATCAGATTTCCGTTTTTTCCACACGAATCTCCCACACAGTTGACACGTCCCTGGATAGGCTTCTCACCAAATTTTGGGAGGTGGAGGATCTGCCAGTAAATGTGACAAAATCTTCCGATTTGGCTTGTGAGGAAAATTTTCTCCGAACGACTACGAGAGACGATAACGGCAGGTATATCGTAAGTCTTCCGTTTCGTGATCCTCAAAACGTAAAATCCGCCCTCGGTCACTCCAGATCCTCCGCGTTGTCGCAGTTCCTAAGAACCGAGCAACGCCTGAAGAGGGACTGTCAGCTGAAAGCCAAATACGACTCCGTGATTCAAGAGTATCTCGACCTCAATCACATGAAAGAGGTCCGTCCTACCCATAATTCTGCCAGTTATTACCTTTCGCATCATGCCGTGCTCAAGCCGGAAAGTACAACCACTAAGTTATGTGTGGTTTTCAATGCCTCCAGCCCTTCAGAGAATGGGGTCAGCTTAAATGATATCCTTCATGCTGGCCCAGTCTTACAGTCCGATCTAACTATCCAGATCCTGAAGTGGCGATATTTCCGATACGTCTACAGTGCCGACATCGAGAAAATGTATCGGCAGATATGGATAGATCCGAAGCATTCCCCGTTCCAACGCATTTTATTCCGCAACAGCGAGGGGCACATTCGAGATTTCGAATTACAGACGGTAACTTTTGGAGTCAATTGCGCGCCATTCCTGGCCATTCGAGTCCTGCAACAGTTGGCAACTGACGTGCAGCTCAGCCATCCAAGAGCGAGCAATGTCATTCGAAATAATATGTATGTAGACGATGTCCTTTCGGGAGCTGACTCCGCCGAGGACGCTAAGTCCATTGTTCGCGAGCTACAAAGTGCTCTAGATTCCGAGGGGTTTCCACTGAGAAAATGGACCTCCAACAACAAAGAAATATTAGCTCATATCCAAAGCGATCATCTTCTGACAGCCGACTTCCTCGAGATCGACACTGAGAGCACAGCCAAAACTCTCGGCGTACGATGGAAGGCGACGTCCGATGAGTTCTTTTTCGTCCCACCAGATTTAGCAACGGAAGACTCCCACACGAAACGACAAGTCCTTTCCCAAATTGCCAAGCTATTTGATCCAGCAGGCTGGCTCGCTCCATTTTTTGTGTGTGCCAAAATCTTTATGCAAGAGATTTGGCTTCAGGATCTAGGCTGGGACGATAAACTTCCAATTGAGCTGTGCCAAAGGTGGAACAGCTTTCTCCAGAGCTATTCGGTCCTAGACCAGGTCAGAATACCCAGATGGGTTTCCTTCCGTCCAGAGTTCCGCGTAGAGCATCACGGATTCTGTGACGCCTCGCAAAAGGCATACGGTGCTGCGATCTATGTGCGCGTAGAAGTGGGCCATAAGACGATGGTGCACTTGCTCACGGCCAAGACGCGTGTGGCGCCAGTCAAAACGGTGTCCCTTCCCAGGCTGGAGTTATGTGGGGCTCTCCTTTTGTCCGAGATAGCCGAAGCCATTCTTCCAAACATGCCGATGCTGACCTCAAAATTCCATTGTTGGACCGATTCCACGATTGTGCTAGCATGGTTAGCAAAACCAGCGTGCCATTGGACTACGTTCGTTGCCAACAGGGTGACGAAGATCACCGAGTCCACTGAGGCGGCCAATTGGTCTCACGTTCAATCCGAACATAATCCAGCTGATTTGGCTAGTCGAGGAGTTCCCCTTCAAGAGCTGGTGGATAACCCGCTTTGGTGGCATGGACCCACTTGGCTGCAACGTCCACGCGATCATTGGCCCAGCCAGGGAACCGACCTGCCGGTGACTGAGATCGAAAAGCGTGCCGTTAAAGTCCATGTGGCGTCTATGCCGTCAGAAGATTTCCTAGATCGCTTTTCCAATTTAGATAGAGCTTTGCGGGTCCTCGCGTATGTCCATCGATGTGTCCAACGACGTCGAAGACAATCACCGCCTTCCGGGGTCCGTCTAGAGGCCCAGGACGTTGCCGCCGCGGAAGAACTCATGACGATTTGCACTCAGCGCAGGTATTTTTCCGAAGAATACCGCTGCTTGAGTCAGAAGCGTCCTGTGCCCGCGACGAGTTTGATTCTCTCCCTGAACCCCTTTCTAGATAAGAAAGGGGTAATCAGGGCATGCGGCCGCGTAACGGCCTCCGACAGTTTGCGGTATGATGAACGACATCCGATAATCCTGCCGTACGAATGTGCACTCTCGCGGCTTCTGGTCAAATTCACGCATCTCATTACGTTGCATGGTGGCAACCAGTTAGTGGTGCGTCTCACTCGGTCCAGATACTGGGTTCCGAGAATAAAGAACTTGGTGAAGGCAGTGGTTAACTCCTGCAAGGTCTGCGTTATCCACAAAAAGAGATTGCAAGTCCAGATGATGGGAAGTTTTCCGAAAGAGCGAGTGTCCATTTCCCGCCCGTTCACGTACACAGGGATGGACTACGCCGGCCCGTTTGACATAAAAAATTATACCGGAAGAGCTTGTCTCATTACGAAAGGGTATGTGTTGGTTTCCGTTTGTTTTTCTACAAAGGCCATCCATCTAGAGCCTACATCCGACTTAACGACTGAAAAGTTTCTTGCCGCTTTCGCTCGTTTCGTCTCTAGAAGAGGGTGTCCTCGCCAAGTCCAATCCGACAATGGAAAGACCTTCGTCGGCGCCTCCACCGTGCTTTCCCGAGACTTCCTGCAAGCCGTTAAGGAGTCTGTGACCGATGCCTATAGTCATCAGCAGCTCACCTGGCAATTCATTCCTCCTGGGGCACCCCATATGGGAGGCCTATGGGAAGCTGGTGTCAAGAGCTTCAAGACCTTGTTTTACAAGTCCACCGCTACGCGGAAGTACACCTAGCGAGAATCGAAGCTTGTCTAAATTCCAGACCGCTATCTCCCATGTCCGAGGATTCAACTGATCTCTTAGCGTTGACACCAGGGCACTTTCTTGTTGGTGGACCTCTTCTATCCATAGTGGAACCTGAAGTAAAGGGCGAATCCAAGTCCATTCTGAACCGGTGGCAGCACTTAAAGTCTCTCCATCAACAATTCCGCACTCGATGGAAGGATGAGTACCTTAAGGAGCTCCACAAGCGCAACAAGTGGCAAGTCCCCACAGAAAATCTGCGTGTTGGCGATCTGGTCGTCATTAAGGATGACAATTTGCCCTCAAATGAGTGGCGACTCGGAAGAATAGACTCCGTTTTTCCGGGAGCCGATGGTAATGTCCGCGTAGTAGACATTCGTACGACACGCGGCATTGTCAAACGTCCAGTGACCAAGGTGGTTCTTCTTCCAAGAGAGCCGCCCAAAACTACCTCGTAACGAGCCGCGTTTCTTACACACCCTAGTCCGTAGCCATTATCCACGTCAGTGTTAATCAGCCCTGTTTGTTTTTTCCTTATTCACACTCTAAACAGGAAAATGGCTCCCCGTCCACGTAGCGCTCAGGCTTTGGATAGCAGACGTACTAGAGGTACTCAGTCCTACCGATGCCGAGTCTGCCGCGGAATCCATCCTCTTCGGAAGTGTCAGAGGTTCCAAAAGCTGAGCGCAGAGAAGCGGCTGCGGGCAGTGCTTATTAACAAGTACTGCGCGAACTGTCTCGCACACGAGCACTCCACTGGGAGCTGTCGTAGCGGTGACCGGTGCAGAACGTGCAACCGGGATCATCACACGCTGCTGCACATGCATGACCTTGGTTCCCGGAAAAAGTCCGGCTCCAAGCAAAAGTCCCGCTCCAAGCAACAGCCCGCTTCTCCGCAGCGTTCGCGCCGGCAAGATCCGCCAACTCGCCAAACGCCTGCTCCTCCACCGCGCTCAGCATCCTCGACACCAGCTCCGTCGCTCGCCGCACTTCTCCAGCGTCATAGCGTTAATGTCCTCCCGACTGCTGTGGTGATCGTCGAGACCGGAGAGAAGAGGTTTTCCACCGGCCAGCCACGATTTCATTGATCCTGGGCGCGGACGTCTACCCGAAGGTGATAAAGCCGGGCTTCCACATGGTCGACGAGGGACTGCCGGTAGCCCAGAAGACGGTGTTCGGGTGGATCGTCTCCGGCGCCTGTACGCAGGCTTGAGGCGTAGGCGGCTGGCCGAAGTTCCGTCTCCGTTATTTTTTGCAACGCTAGCGATTGCTAGGGGGCGGAATGTTCAGGCCCACTGTCCGGCGAATCTGGACTGGCCTCGCTATCCAGCTGCACCAGCTGCACCGCTCTACCGCTCTCCCGCTCTCCCGCTCTCCCGCTCTCTCGCGCTCCCGCTCTCCTGCGCTGTTCCTAGCTCCCTCCATGAAGTCTCCGCTGCGCTTTGGAGCGCTGAGCGGAGCTTAGACTAAGGCAGTTCGATTTCTGAAGTTCAGTTGAATAAACCGCGGTTGTACCCCCGCCTACTATTACCCAGTTAACTTTTGTGCACATTTATTTCCGACTAAGGGGCAAATACGCGTTCGAGTGGTTTCTCCCCTACAGCTTCATCAGCACCAGCAGCAAACCGCACCAGCAGCAAGCCACCGAAGCCCAGCGAACCAGCCCGCCGACGCCGCCAGTTTTCCCGCCGTCGCCTGCCACGCCATTCCACCAGCGCCCACACGGTACCCCGCTACCCCCCGGCGAACAGTGATTTCTTTTGCACAGGAAACATGTTTTATCGCTAGTGCATTTTTTATTATGAGTGTGTTCTGGGCATTTAAAAACACAAAATGCCCTTTTTACTTTATCTATTTTTTCAGACAGATTTAAAACACTAAATTTGTGACATTGAAATATTGTGTGTCCCATACCTCTACAAATGGGACAAATATAAATAGACAGTTCTTTTACATTGCTACTACATTTTTTTAAACAGGTTTTTATCCTGAACTGCTTATTGAATTTAATCGTTGCTCTCATATAACTGCAGAGCCTCTTTGTTACATTTTCTGATAATAATATGTGAAAAGATAATATCAACCTCTTCAGATAGCTGTGCCTTTAATTTGATCATGTGAACTGACTCATTTATATTGTCAATAAACATACATTGTCAATAAAATTTAGCGACCGCTGAAGAGAGCGGACGTGTTTTGTGCGAGCTCCGCGAAAAGTGCAAGAAAGTTGATAAATTAAATGCAAACAAAACACAAAAACTAAACTGGTTAATTTCAAATAAGCGAAAAGACGCTAAAACCCAAAGAAATTTAGGTTTCAACTCACAAAATCGGTGTAATGACTTTAACTAGCACATACATTTTTTCATCTTATAATAATAAATAAGTGCCACGCGAATAAAAGCTCAATTAGCTACGAACAGAATAAAGAGCGACTCAGCTCCGCGAGCCGAAGAGACGGTTACTTTTCGTATGTCTCAACGCGTGATAGCGAAGAGCAAAGAACGACCCTACTGTCGGTCGATAGCCAAAGAGCACGATCTTGCTCACCATGCTTACTTACGGCTACCCCCACTCCGACAGCGTGGAGTCAACAATGCAAAACCCCCCCAAAATCAGTTTCGACCCCTGGCGCACCAACAACATGCAACGGTAAAACTTCTGCATCCGCACTAAATTTGTCAGCAACAACTACAGCTACGGCAAAAAAACCAATCGACTGCAACCGCAGCTCTAAATACAACGGCAACAAAAACCACGACAACAAATCAAAACCAAAACAAAATTCAGCAAGCGGGTCCGGCCATGCAGACCGGACTAGATCGGTACCTCCATATCAAGCGTAAGCTTAGCCCGCAGAACACCGCGGTAGGTAACAAGTCAAAAATAAACCGTGTCCAAGTAGACGATATATTACCCGGGAGATCCGACAGCAATCGTTTTGCGCTTCTAGCAGAAAATGAATCAGGACGGGCTCAGGAGACCCAACCGAAACCTAAGCCCCCACCAATTTACATTAGGGAGAAAGTCTCGAACGCCCTGGTCAACAAAATTGATGCGCTGACCGGGGACAGAAACTTTCATGTTGTTCCGGTCACAAAAGGGGATATTCATGAAACCAAGCTTCAGACCAAATCTGAAGAACATTTCCGAGCAGTATCCAAATACCTGGAGGAAGCTAGGAAAAGCTACTACACGTACCAACTAAAAAGACGCAAGGGCCTGCAAGTGGTAATAAAAGGATTCGAGCCCAACGTAACCGCCAAGGAAGTTATCGATGCTCTCAAGGAAAAAGGGTATTCTGCAAAGAACGTCAGTAAAATTATAAACAGGAAAAAAGAGCCGCAACCACTCTTCAGGGTCGAGCTGGAGCCAGAGAGCAAAGTCTTGAAGAAAAATGAAGTGCACCCCATTTATAACCTGCAATACTTATTGCACCGAAGAATTAACGTGGAAGAGCACATAAAAGGAACGGCCCAGTGCAATGCACAAATTGTCAGGAGTATGGACACACCAGGGCATACTGTTCACTTCGAACAGTCTGTGTAGCTTGTGTAGCAACGCGTCATCAGAATACCCAAAATGCGTACACTTACTCGCGTACGACGCCGGAAGTATTTTTCGGCACGGCTGCAAGATCCTCATTTGGTCAACTAAATGCCCAGAAGGGATTCTCATACGCAGATGCCCTTCGATCGGGAACGGAAAACCCACTCCAGTCCAATCTAGGAAACGCTCAGCAGATCCAAGTACAGTCGCAAAGCACTCTGGAAACTATGATGGTCACCATGCAACAAAGTATGATGGAACTCATGTCATTCATAAAAACGACCATGCAAACACTGGTTCAAAACAAGAACATGGTGTTACAGCTACTTGCAGCTAAGCATTCCAAATAATCAGACGTCAAATCTACGAATAACAATGTGGAACGCCAATGGCGTTTCACGGCACAACCTTGAAGTAACACAGTTCCTGAATGAAAATCATATCGACATTATACTACTGGTAGAGACGCACCTCACAAACAAATACAACTTCCAAATAAGAGGCTACACTTTCTACCGCACAGAACGTACAGAGGGTAAAGCCCAGGGCGGAACCGGCATCCTAATCAGGGAACGCACCAAGCACCACTTTCACCAAAGGTCTTCAACTTATTACTTACAAGCCACGTCTATCAAAGTGCAGTCAGGCAATGGAAACCTCACCATAGCCGCTGTCTACTGCCCGCCTCGCTTCATGGACTTCTACAACTTGCTTGGAGATCGCTTTATAGCTGCAGGGGACTATAATGCCAAACACACGCACTGGGGATCACGCCTTGTGACTCCCAAAGGAAGGCATTTATACAATGCAATCATTAAACCGAACAACAAATTAGACTATGTTTCCCCTGGCAGCCCCACATACTGGCCAACAGACCCCAGGAAAGTTCCAGACCTAATAGACTTTGCGGTGACAAAAAACATTCCCCGCAATATAATAAGCGCCAAAGCGCTTTCGGACCTGTGGTCAGACCATTCGCCAGTGCTAATAACTCTTCTTCAAAGCACAAAAACCACAGATCACCCCCTCAGGCTGACGTCGCACAGAACCAACTGGTTAAAATGTAACAAGGAAGAACACTATAGTCGAGTACCTCGACTATCAGATACCCGTTACTCAGATAATGGGACCAAAGGGAAATGGAGATATGCAAGCAGCAAAGCGAGATCGAAATGCGCCACCTACCGGCGGTAGACAGATTTAAGCGTTATGGGCGTTAAAGTGGGCGTGGCAAATTTTTTTGGATCAATCGATAGGTATTGACGAGACCAATACATTTCAGTTAAAATTTTTATTCTATCATCAAAACTGTAGGAGCCACAGTTTGGGCGGTTTGTGGGCGTTAGAGTGGGCGTGGCACTCTACTGAACTCTACAAACTTGCGCTGCGTAAGAAGCTCAGGAATCTTCACGCCAAATCTTAATAGCCTAGCTCT